TGATCTAATACATCTGTAAAAGGCAGAAGTATGTTAATCTCTAGGATTAGCAGTTAATTTGAAGGCAAAATTAGGTGTTTTCAATCAGTGGGATGACTATCAGGTGTCAGTGTGTGTCCTGTTTTATTTAAAGAACAGGGATCTATCAAAGTCTGATCATGTTTGTGGAAGTGAATCATGACATGAACAAAAGAGGTCTCTGAGGACCTCAGAAAAAGAGTTTTTGTTGCTTATCAGGATGGAAAAGGTTACAAAACCATCTCTAAAGTGTTTGGACTCCACAAATCCACAGTCAGACAAATTGCATTCCAGCATAAGATCCTTCCCATCTGTGAAACGTGGTGGTGGTAGTATCATGGTTTGGGCCTGTTTTGCTGCATCTGGGCCAGGACGGCATGCCATCATTGATGGAACAATGAATTCTGAATTATACCAGCAAATTCTAAAGGAAAATGTCAGGGCATCTGTCCAAGAACTGAATCGCGAGAGACAATGGTCATGCAGCAAGACAACGACCCCAAGCACACAAGTCGTTTACTGCAAGCAATAGTATCAATTTACCATCCAGTAGGGACTTTTTCTGCATTGTTTCTTCTTTTTTTGTATCTTTAGAGTTAAATACATCGTTGTATTTCCCACAGGCCTGTTCCTGATCTGCCCAAAAAGTCTTTCTTCTCATTTATTAATGATGAATTCATTGAAAGGAGGAGAAAAGGTCTTCAGAGCTTCTTGGACAAGTCAGTTCTAGTGTTTTATTTAAAATCTTCTGGTGCTTGCTTGCTTACAAAGCATTTTAAAAAACGAGAGAATTAAAAATAGCAAATAAAATAGTACAGAAATATTCATTTTAACACCAAACTTTCGTCTTTCTATACAGAGTGCTGCACATGACGGTATGCCTGTCAGATAGCCAGCTCCATCTTTTCCTGCAGACTCAGCTTCCTGTCAAGCACATTGAGGACTGTGTGCAGGGTCACACCCCTTACACTGTGACAGAAGCCATTCTGACTTACGCTTCCTCTAACCGTGGCTGGGTGCAGGAGGAAGGGGGCGGGGCCCAAGAATTATGGCCTACCCCTGTTCCATATGAATCCGCAGAGAGGTAAAAACCGGTCGCAACGACATAAAGCACATGATGATGTAACATTAAGATTACCTTCTCCTAATGATATACATCTCTTTACAGCCCTGCTCCTCACCTCCCTTCATTACAAAATCCAGGAGCCACATCTAGCGGACCTTTAAATGAACTTACAGATGTTTCAGACTCCGAGTCGAGACCGAGTGATGCAGAACAGACTGCACTTGACCTGAAGCAGGGAATTGGCCATGAGCAGCTGCCTCAAGAGGGAGAGAGTTACATTACATTAGTAGTTGAAGTCCACCCGAACCTTGTTGTTTCTGTTGAAACCGAGGAAGAGGATGGACACATTGGATCAAAAGAAACGCAAAGGCTTGATAAGGATGCCAAAGATCTACAAAATTATGATTGTGACTATCTTGCTCCACAGATAGATGGACTGATTGAAGACCAGATTCAGCAAGGAGATGCATGCAATGAAGAAGATCTTGAACAAGAAACGACTGTTGTTGAAGATGCAGTAGATGTTACCTCAGTAGACGGAGTCATCGAGAAAAAGATTCCTGATGATTTCAGTGAAGTGAAGAAGGGAAGTCAAGATATTGGACTTGAACAGGACAGCGATGTGAGACGAGCCCCTCATGAAGAAGATCCAGGAGTAAGGATCCATAATAATGAAGTTACTATGGATCTCAGTGCTGTCGAGGAAGACAATGCTGAGAAGGTACTTGAAACCGCAGCTACAACTGTAGAAGATGTTGCACTCCATGATGCTTTTGAGGAGAACACGCCAGATATTGAAGGTCAAGATAAAGCTGGTATAACAGAGGAACATGCAACCCAGGAGAATGGAGTCAGTGATGAAGACTGCAGCGAAGATGCTGCTGTTCAGGAAGAGAATGAGGTGCATGTCGGGGAAGTGAACAAGCTCAATGCAAAATGTTTTCAGCCTAGCAGTGCCATTTTGATACTTGAGGGAATTGAGGAAGCAGTGAGCACGCAAATGGCCCCCGTGACAGAGACTGTCAGTAACCTTGATGCAAATACTGCTGATGTCAACACGCTTGTTTTACACGCCATAGAGATTGATTCAATGCAATGTCACGAGACGGACAGTCATATAATCATCACTACCCACCAACCAGATACTAACTAATTCCCATGGAGAATTAGTACAGTCATAGATTGGACACAGTGTTCAAAGAGTCCTCCCTTTGGCTCTTTCCCAGTTATCATCCAAGACGTTTTTCTACTGTGATCTCAAAATGAGTGAGTGCATGTAACTATAAAGGGAGGAACACGTCTTTTTTTTTTTTTTTGCATTGATCCACTGTGGATGTGTTCAGACTGTTTACAGAAGATACACTGAATTTTTCCCCACAAACAATGTGAACAAACAGAGATAATGCACTGACTAATGTGCCATTCAGGATTGTGAGCAAATTCCACATGCAACGAATAGTTATGAATCCATGGTAGTGGGCGAGAAAAAGCAGTGCACATCGCTATGGCACCTTGATTCTAAAATTCACCATTCTTAATAAAAATATTTCTATGTTTGTATGATTTTAGCAACAGCAATTACCCCGTGACATGTTGCTGATCTATTTGAGCATTTTCAAAACCCGATTTTAACTGACATGTCACTTTCTAAGGCACTTCCCTTTTTTTTCATCCAACTGTAAAAGCATGTTGCTCACAGATGTTTGCTCTACTGGAACTTTGGATAATGTAAGGGATAGTTCACCCCAAATTGAAAATTGTCTATATTTATTCCCCCCTTAATGTTCTTCCAAACCTGAATGACTTTTGGAAAAATTTTCCAATATTTGGAAAAATGTCTGTTTTTCTGTCCAATGTTGTTGTGGACCCAGTTGAATTTCATTGTACAGTTGAAACATTCTTCAAAGTATCATCTTTTGTTTTTAAATTATTTTCATGAGGGAAGTGGAAAATCATGAGGGTGAGTAAATGATGACAGAATTTTCATTTTGGGGTGAACGATCCTTTTATTATAATTAAAATGCATTGGTATATTTAGTGTAGGTGGCTAATGGCTGTTAAGATTTTTTTATTTTTTTTATATAATTTCAGGGTCTTTGGTTTTTAATTTCCTTGTAGCTTAATTTATGTTCAAAACACTAATTTCCATACAGAAACTTTATGAGCTAAGGAAAATAACCCAAATTTGTAAGAAATTACAGTGCACATTGTTTACAATGATAATGTATTTTATTTTCCCCATCCTAACTTAATGTTGCACCAGGTCAAGTAGGCTGCTCGTTGACTGTTCTTCTATATTCTGCTGTGATGTTGTGTTTAGTGGCTGCTTGTAATACTAATATGGGAACAGAAATGTACTCAAAAGGGAATTGCTTGTTGATTAATAGGAAAGGATACTTCTTTATTTTCTCAGATAAGGTGATCTCTTATCACACACAGGTGTTATTTTTTTCCCCGAATCAGCACAGCAAGACAATTATGAATGCACAGTAGCATTACAAATTCAGAGCATCCTAAATTATTTGTTTTTTCAAGGATTTAAGTTAACATTTTTAACAGTATGAGGTTCTGTATCTTATTTTAAGTTGGGAATAGTATAAGAGCATCTCAGTTGGCGCCACTCGTAATGTGACATTTTCATGTTCATTTGACAGAGCCACATCTGTCGGCCTAGACTTCATTCTGCATGAGTGCCAGAGCATGTGTTCATCACTGTATGTATGTTTGGATTCACCAATGTGCTTACTAACAGCAAACGAATAAAGAATGAGGTTGAAATGAAACTCAATGTCTACTAAGGGAACACGTTGGAAACCATGAGTGAATTCACAATACCAAAAAATAACAGTATTTTAACTGACCAAATAAGTTTAAAAATGCCATTGGATAGTTCATAAATGGGAGCAGCCAATGGAAATTGGACTAAATCTAAAACTGCATTTTAAAATTTGTTATTAATGTAATATTTATGTTCAAATGTATGTGAAAGCATAAATTGGATATAGAAATGTTTGTCATTTAATTTCAGAAACAATTTTAGATTCATGTCAGAAATCCTGGTAATATAATTTTTTTTTTTAATCAGTCATGTGATAAGTTGATATATTTAGTAATTAACAAAACAATACTGTCAGTTTCTTAATTATTAATCAATCCAATAATAAGTTATGCAGTTACAGTTATGGCAAAAGTACTACCACAAGATGGAGACATGGTATCAAACTAGGGAAAGTGAAAGTCATTCCCCATTTTGTCATTTATATAAAACTCACAAGATAAATTAAAATATTTCCATCTATATTTATTTGCATCTCATACAATCATGTATTTTAATTGTCTAAAATATATACTCTTTTAAGATAATTTCATATTGTTAAAAAATAGAGCTGTCAAAAGAATGAAACAGTTATTAATCTCATGATTTCTTTAGAAATATAAAGATCAGTAATTGTGATTACCCCCTTACAGGCCCCTGGGGAGTGACCCCAGTTTGCATAAACTGCTTAGACTAGTCTTAAAAAGTTAGTCATCTAATTTGTTTTCTTCAAGACTGGTTATAATTTTTTTAAGTCAGTTACAAAACGTTAGATTGGCCCAATTTGAGTCAGAAAAGTAAGGCTGATTACCTCTTGCCTAACTGCTAGTTGGTTAAACTATTTCTTAAGACACAGTCTTAACATAGTGGCTATGTTTATGCAACTGGCCTGGTCTAGCTCATAATGAAAAAGCAGAATTTAAATGTACTGCAACATCTTGGAATCAATAGTTTCCTGTTACACAGCTTTAGCATTTCACATCAACAACATATCTTCTTAGTAATCTAGTGTGGTTTTCTGGGACACTGCGTTCAATATTTGAACTATGCTCTTCCCAGTGTAGGAAAAAACAGTGCTTTCAATATGTTGATGTGATCTAACCCATTGACAAACAGTGCTGAGTTCAAGGCTGAGCCCGACTGACCTCATTTTAAACTGTGACATCTGCAGGCGGAGTTGTGTGGCTGGCAGCAGGGGACTGCAGCCGGAATCACGGTGTAGTCGGCCAATGATACCTTATCTGTGGCGATGTCCCATAGCAGAGCCTCCCTCTCTCTCTCCACTTCCTTCAAGACAGATCTGTACTCATCACTCTCAGGGTTCAGAGGGGTCTCCTCTGCCTCGTCCTGTGAGAGGTCAAATATCAGAGGGGGGTCGTGATACTGCTGTTGTCCACTTCCTCCACCGCATGTCACTGATCCACCTGAGAGAGCACATCAGAACCATTAAATCAACCAATACCAGCGTAGTAACACAGTCATTTTAAAAAATGCCATTGGACAGTTCATACATGGGAGCACTCATAGATATGTATAGGTAGATTCCACATTCCATGTTACACTACATTTTTAAACAAGAAATAATTAGTTTAAAATATGTCTATTTATTTGTCAATTTTAAGAAAATGATATTTCTTAATTTATTTCACCGATACATTTTTAAACATGATTGAAAAAAATGTTTAAAAGTTTAAAATGTCTATTTATTTATCAATTTAAAAATGTGATTTATTCATTTATAATTTACTGTTACATTTAACTATATTTTTAAACGTGAATTAAATAAATACTTTAAAATGTTTATCAATTTAAAAATTTGACTTTTTTGATTTATGTAATTTTGATATGTGTTATTTTGTATTTTATTCTTGTTAAAAATCAATAAACATTCAGTTAAAATAAAAATGTGATGTTTTAGTTTATTATTTTAAGGTTACATTTAACTGTGTGAATTAAAACATACATTTAAACGAATTAAATCAACTGTTTAAAATATAAACAAAAATATAAAATTAAATAGTTTAAAATAAGTCTGTATTTGTCAATTAAAAACATTAATTCGTTGAGCAGAATGTCGGTTATATCAATGCCGTCATAGCGTCGATCTGATGGTGGTTTTACACCAGCCAGGGAGAGGATAGTTGGAAAGATGTCCAGACCACTAAGGAGTTAAAGCCAGTCGTCATTCAATGAAAACAAAACAATCATGCTACATAATGTTCCAGTACCTCAGCAGGGCGCTGCTGGTGCTGTTGGGTTTGATCTTCTTAGGCCATGCGACCACTGTGGGAACTCTATGACCTCCTTCCCATGTGGTTCTCTTGGCTGAGCCACCACCTGCTCCAAAGAATGAAAACAGAGTATTACATGATAATTCAATTAGTGGGTTTGTTATCTAAAACAACTGAGGAGAAGTCATAAGTAAGCATGAAATCTGCACCACAGAAAAAAAAAAAAAAAACTTCATTCATGAAATATCTTTAGGTTAAAGATATAACACCTTATAATATTTTCAATAAAGGAGACTATAAAGGTAAACATTTTATATGACAGTTTCTTCATTACCTCTGCTTGCCTGCCACTTTCCAACAAAAGGCCCAACATGCCCAGCAAACTGGCATTTCTGCTCCCACGGGCCATTGTCACCTTAGAAATTGATGTTTCATTGTATTGATAGTAAGCAAATTTTTAACTAAAACAGCTTAAAGTGTAATACGTGTAAAATAACTCACCAGTGAACCATATTAATGTGTTTTCCAGCTGCTCAGTGCTGACCGTCTGCATGATTGTCCCCACCATAGAGTCCATGTCACTGAGACTGGCTGTGTAAGGGTCTTGTGTCGTAACATTTAGGAAGGAGTTATGGAACAGTGGGACATGCATGTGAGCAAGAGTCACATACAGGAGGAACGGCTGCTTCTTAGAAATGCTACACAGACACATTAACACAAAACATAAGATATTACCCAAACTGTACAAAAACAGAAGGATACGTTTGTTACAGAGAGGCACAATGTAGCGGTACAATTGTGAAATATTACAGTTTAAAATAATTGATAATTTATTCCTGTGATGGCAAAGCTGAAATATCAGCAGCCATTACTCCAGTCTTCAGTCACCTGGGGTCTCATTTATAAAACTCTCGGTAGATTTCATCCTAAAAGTGTACGTACGCACAAAAGCTAGATTTTGCATACGCACAAAAGTTTTCAGATTTATAAAACCTGCGCAAAAATCCCTTTATACTGTAAATCCCAGTCAGGGTAAGATTGTGCCTACGTGCATCTCCACCCCGACTCCTCCCCAAAATCACCATATATGGAGCTTACAACGCCTTGTTTTACTATGCATAACCTCATCTGCATATCATTTCCATGCACATTCCATCCACGTGACACAATGTTTAACACCTTCAAAGGTACAAGACATTAAAGGCAGGGTATGTGATTTTTCAAAAACACTTTAGAAAACTGATTCGGGCCGAATAGCAAAACAAACTTGTAGCCAATCAGCAATAAGGGGCGTGTCTACTCGTGATGTGGAGGAGAGCGCGTTCAGTGCATGGGACGGACATTAGCCGAGCCGAGCGACAGAAAGATAGAGATGGCGGATAAAAAAACAAAAGAGGAAAACGTCTGCGGAGCATATTTATTGCAGTGTAAATACAATTGTCTGACTCGCGTGTCATTGACAAAAGTATTTTAAAAAGGAAATGTGCAAATCTTTCCGTTTTCTTCAAGTTGTATCCTTCAAATACAGTGGTATCTTTCATAATGTTGTGGAGATGCCTTCACACGACATCAACACGTGCAGCTGTGGTTGTACAGTAGCTATTATCACTGGACCTATTCAAACCGGACAATGGACCGTTCGACCACTGAATCCAGCAGTGTCCGCTATAATATCGAAGTAAGTGTGCATCATTGATCATTGTTCTCACTAAAAATATTTTCTCATAACATGTGATCTGCAGTTTAATTTAAAGATGAATTATTGTGCGCATAGCACTCCTCGCTGGCATTAAAACATAGCATGCCACAAGAAAAGTGATCAAGCGCATCCAATAGGCTATGTCTAAATTCATATAATTTTGGTTTAACTTCTGTGTAATGACTATGTAATTTCA